CCCGACTGCAAATAGAGCATCTTAATAGATTGATAGATGAAAGTGATATAACATGCTACAATCAACTTAGGATGGATAGACGATATTTTCTATATTGTGCACACTCATTGAACAGGTTGGTGGGCTCAGTCGTACAAGAAATATTAGCATTGAAGAAATGGAAGCTATGTTCTTGAGCATTATTAGTCATGATCATAAGAATAGACCAGTCAAATTTAGTTTCATTAGATCCGGTAAGACGATTAGCAAGTATTTTAATGCAGTGTTGTTGGCAGTTCTTAGGCTAAGTCGATTATTGCTTGCAGTCCTTGATCCAATCACAGATGAATACACTGACCCTAAGTGAAAGTTTTTTAAGGTATTGAGAGTTTTTTTTAAAGTATATCCACCTTTGGGTTGTCATGTCACGTAATATGTAGTTAGCAAAATATTAGTTGATAATATATTTATTTTCTATTGTATAGAATTGTGTTGGGACTTTAGATGACACTCACATTAGAGCAAAAGTGTCACTTGTGCACCAAGCAAGATATAGGACAATGAAGGGACAAATTGTAACAAATGTGTTAGGAGTATGTACGCCTGACATGAGAATCATTTATGTTTTGCCTGGTTGGAAGGGATCGGTGGCAGATTCAAGAGTCCTTTGCAAAACAGTTACAAGACGTACTAGGTTACATGTTTAACGGGGTAAGCTATAGTGGAAATTTTTAGTGCATTTTTTATTTTGTGGACATTGTGTACTAATGGGTATATACATAATTAGAACAGACACATATTATTTATGTGATATTGGGTACATGAATGGTGAGAGTTTCTTAGCTCCTTTTAGGGGTTAACGATACCATTTTGATGAATTTGAAAGTGGAAACGCAGCTCCTCATAATGCCGAGGAATATTTCAACCTAAAACATTCCTCCGCCAGGAATGTTATTGAGAGGTGTTTTGCTCTCCTCAAGATGTGATGGGCAATCCTTCGAACTGCCTATTTTTACCCTATCCCCACACATAACAGAATTATTGTTGTTCGTTGTCTGTTACATAATTTCATTAGAAATGAGATGCCAGTTGACCCATTGGAAGACCACAAACTTGAGTATGTTCTTAATGAGGACGATGACAATATCAACACCAATGTAGTTGAAAGTGTTGAGACCTCTATTGCATGGACTGCTTGGAGGAATTAGTTAGCAAACAAAATGTACGAAGCATGGCAAATGGGTAGATGAATTTGGGGGGGGGGGAGGGGTTATTTTGCTACCTTCAATTAGTAGACTAAATGTTGGATATGTTTCTAATGTGTTATTGGTACTTTTTCTGCTTTGATTAATTGTTGTCTTGAATCTTAAGGAACACAATTTATTTGATGGTGTTATTATGTTATATATTCGACATTTGTTATATTGTAATTGATTTTACATTGCATATTCGCTTTACACTGACACACACACACACACACACACACATATAGCGAATATGGACAAATACAGAAAAGACACAACTATTATATGCACTGAAGGATCTATGTGCAGCAGGGTTGAAGTGTCCTAATGGTACATTCAAGTGAGGTTAGCTGCAAATGCTAGAACAAAGAATTGGCAGCAGTACGTTTCGTGCACAACCACACATCAAATCAAAGATAAAAATGTGGAAGAAACAGTATAATAGTATACTATCTATGATGAACACGAGTGGCTTCGAGTTTAATGACACTAATAACAAAATTGTGGTTGATTTTGATGATGTTTGGGAGGAGTATTTAAAGGTAATTTGGTATGGTATACCACTTTCTAATTAATAGAGGTCTTTTGTTATTTTCAATACTCAACTTATTCAAGGCATGTTCTTTCGTGGTATAATTATTGTAGAAAGATAAAGAGGCTAGAGGGATGCGTGAAAAATGTTGGCCATACTACAAAGATTGGGATATTATTTTTGGCAAGGATCGCACAATAGGAGAATTTGCAAAGGATCTTGATGAAAAGGTTGGAGAGAATGACAATGAGGATACACACCATGAAGTTGACCCGTCAGGCATTAACAATGAAAATGAGACCAATGGTGCAAGTCATAGTACTACTCAAGGCATGAATGTTTTCACTGACAACCCCACTACCAAAAAGATGAAGAAGAGAAAGGCTTTGACAACTGTTGAGGTCATTGCAAGTAGCTTGGGTGATATGACCAGGGTCTTAGGTGATTATGTTGCTATTTGTGGTCGTAAGCTTGATAATATCGCACATAGGGTAGGCCATGCCCAAGATGTTTCTAAATCAAGGAGAAGAATCTTTGCTGAGCTTGAGAAAATTGGGTGGCTTGATGAGGATCTACTTTATGAGGCTAGTTATAGAATTTCCTTTGATTTGGTTAAGCTGGACTTGTTCTTTACCATGTCTGACGCTTCAAAGCCATCTTGGGTAAGGAAGTTGTTGTATGGAGCGAGCTACCAACAGGTGTAGGGTTGGGTAATATTTCTTTTTGACGTGATATAGGTGAAATTAGTCATATAAGACCTTATAAAGTGATATGATATATTGTCCACTTTTTTTACTTGTTCACCTATGTCCGTATGTAATATATGGTTATGTCCGTATGTAAAATATGGTTAAGTACGTATGTAAATTATTTCATATAAAGTTTGAATAACTTAGCCGTAGTTGCATTATGTCGTTATGTTTATTAACACTTGCTTTTTATATTGGTATGCACTTGCATAGAAATGTACTAACATGTTTAGTTAGATAAGTGATGCACAGGAGAACACGCTTTTACGTCGTGTTTGTTGGAAGACAAGTTGGAGTCTATACGACATGGCAAGAATGTCATGTGCAAGTGAATAGGTACCCGAGTGCGTTGTACAAGTCTTATGACTTGTACATCGAGGCTAAAAATGCATTGCGCACATACATTGCGAATGAAGATGTCGTAAGAGATGTCCAATATGAATGTGATGTGGTTGTCCATCATAATCAACCTCTGGATAATCTTCGTGTAGAATATGCAATGTACATTCCTCTAGTAGCCTCGACAGTTGTTAGGCGCGATGAAGAGGGTCAGGGAGACCGTAATGTTGGTAATTATCTCATGTATGTTGTGATGTTTGTTTTGGGTATGGTACTAACCCATATTCTTTACATTTTTTCAGGTAGACTTTCTTGAACTATGTTTGTATTTTGTTTGACACTTTTTGGACAATCTTTAAGGTTAGTGTTTGGTGCTCTATTTAGATGTACGTAGTAATGTTACTTCCTATGTTTTGACATTAACTGGAGAATGTATGAATATGATGTACAATATGAATGTATTTCTATTGTAATTGATTTTTGTGTTATGATATGATTGTTTTGTTTAATGAATTTGTATAAATTGGTGGTGTGTCAATGGTTTGTGTATTTGGTTAGCACAATATTATATAGAAAATGTTGGCTCCTCAAATTGTTGCTGTAGAAAGTGATGTCTTGATGGCTTTATTGCTTCGAAACAAGCAACGAGGCAGCATGACAGCCCAACACTTCAGGGATCTGTTAAGGCGGATGAAAGGGAGGTTGCCTGCATTTAGCATGAATCAGATTAACATTGAGAAGATTATTTTTTTTTGGAAGAAGCAGTACTTCACTCTAAATTCTATGTTGAAAACGAGGATGTTTGCTTGGGACTTGACAAACTTGTGCGTCGTTGATGGACCGATTGCTGGAGCGCGTGACTACCTAGTGGTAAGTGTTTAATTGAAAACTATAATAATAAATATCATGTTATGTCTCTTTGTTTTATTTGTTTTCACCCTTTGCTTGAATTCTTGATGCGTTTAAAAGTGATTAACTTGTAGGCAAACAAGTTTGCTAGATTTTGGTGCATTGAACCATGTCCTTTGTTCAAGAAAATGATGGAGGTTTTCGACAACGTGTCCCTAGAAGAGCTGATTGAAAGTGTGGGCTCCTGTTCGAGTGGTGATCCAACAGAAGACATAAAGTTTATTGATGCTTCTGATTAAGCATGATCCCTGTCATATTATGACTGTATATATATGCTTTCCACATGCCATTTTGGTTTTTGGGTATGAATGCATGTGGAGCCAGCTGTATATTATGAATGGGTTTGAATGGTTAAACTTGGTTTCTGTTGATGATGTTTGGGGAGTTTCATCTTTTAGGAATGTTGGTGTTTATATTATATAAGTTAAAAATGTTTATGGTGGATGTTTTAAACTTGCTTGTGGAGCCAGTTGTATTGCTATTTGGTGGCAGTTGATGTGCTTGCACTGGTATCTTATATTTGACGTTATATATGTTAATGTGTTGTGCATGCAGTTTGTTTTTTGTAAAAGGAATGGCAGTGTTGTGTGTATTGTGCTTGAACCGATATTCAGACATTATTCCAATGGGGATTTTGTTGTGAGTTTGTTGTAGTGTTAAGGCTGGAAAGATGGACATATTCTTGCAAAATATAAAGTAGTCATTGTTGCTGCAATTGTTTTGTGTGTTTAAGGTTGATTCTATGTGTGTGTGGGTGTGTGTTACTTGGGAGATAATTGCAACAGTGCATGCAAACCATGTGGAACAAAAAAACAAAAGAAAAAAAACAAGGTTTTGGTTTTAGTTATGCATAGGTGGTTGTACTAACAAACAAGGGAATGGATTGCTTTGAATTATATGGTTATAATTATTTTTTTACATTGAATAGTTCATCTGATACACCTTTTTTGGTAGGTATCACATAAATAATTTTTGTAAGAAACAAACAAGGGGAATGATGGAATAAAAGTTTAAGACTAGGTATAGTATCTCATTGGGTAGGAGTGGAATGGATATCATTTCCAATACCACCCATAATTAATCCCCCAAACAAACATACCCTAAGTTGTTGTGCATTTTACCAAGTCAATAAATTTAAGGGTTGGTTTGGTTGTAATATTAAAGGGTGTACTAAGAGCATCTTCAATCCATATCTTTTTTTAAATCTAATTTTAAATTTGAATAAAAAAAACTCTTAAAAATCTTCTCCAATACATATATCAAATTAAAGAAGACTCAAATCCATACTTAAAATCTTTAATGGTCAAATTTTACCCTTTTTGAAGTATTCAAAGGTCATTTTTTATCGTCTTTTAAATTTGAGTTTGTCCTTATTTAAATTTAGAATTCTCTTCCTTTAAATTTGAGTTTTTCCATTGGAGAGGTCTATATAAAATCGAATTTTTTATCTTTTTTTTTATTCAAATTTTGATAAAGGTTTGAGTTTTCATTGGAAATGGTCCAAGGAGTCATACTTGATTAACACTTTCAATTCAACCATATTAAATTATAAAGTTACTATTTTGTCCATCAGATAAACAAAAGTACGATTAATTAAACTAGATTGATAATTTTTTAGTCAATATATAATTAATACTATGGGATAATTGAATCCAATGTTAGTTTGGATTGGATAATTATTATCTCACTCGTAATTTAACGTCTTACCAAATACTGAATTATAATATTTTTGTAATCTATTTAATCTTTTATTTTATCTGCTTATATGGAATTAGTCTGAATTATTTTTTTATTTTTTAAAGAGGAGGAGGAGGGGAACTTGAACCCTTAACTTCAAGAAGACAAAACATTTACAAGATAAGAAGTACCATTGGACTAAATGGCCATTAGTATCTAAATTACTTAATACAATCATTTCTTTTACAATATAATAACCAAGTGAGCCTTAAATGTAAAAATACTTCAAATCAACATCCTCCTAGACTAGATATTCTTAAAGATAGTGTTGCAATTATTTCAATTTATCTAATGTATTGTGAGATGCCCACTTTTTTTTCCCCTTAAAATATGTGCAAAGCTCCATAGTTATGAGAATAAGCGGCTGAGCTTCTGGCCTTGTGCTGCCAATGTACTAATATCTACATGTCAATGATTTTGTCTATAATATCCAAATAATGTAATTAATGTGATTGGATTGATTTGTATTAACAAAAACATTCAAACGTTCCTTTTTACATATGGTACCAAGGGCAATAGTTAATCCAAAAATTAGAAGTGATGCTCCCAAATATTCATAAACTAGGATAATTTGTGTCGTTCCTGAAATCACGGTGCAATGTAAGTGAGAAGTGATAGATTTAAGAGAGGGAGAAAAATCCAATATGAATGATTTCGATAGGGATGTTAGTGGCCGTTAGATGAATCTATTTGATACCGTCGGATGACTTATTAAAATTTGTTTTATTTTATATTATACATTTATTTTTTCACAAATAAAATATGATTAAAGATAATCAAGCTTAATATAAGCACTAAATGCTACACAACCCTTAGTTAGTTGCATTAAATCTTAAAAGATGTTGGGCAATTTGTTTTGTCTAATTTTAAAAAACTTATAAAAAGTATTTTATAATTTAAAACATAAGCTGAAGATGGTGTAATTTTATCGTTATAAAGAATTATAATGGTTTTTTTTTCCCAACCATATCGAATAAAAAAAAGTATTTTTACAAGTCAACTATAGCATATCAATATAATAAAACAAAATACATCACTTACATAAAGTACAATAAACAATCTAAATTATTTAAATTCGGTGGTCTTTGTTACGGCTTAGATTTTAAGCAGTTATAATGAATTGATCTATTTACATCTAATTTTTTAATTACAATTAATTTTGCAATCACAATTTTTTTTTAAACAGTGTGTTTTGAATGAATTACCCTAGTTAATATAAAATTGTAAGATAATTATGCAGTTACACAGACAGACCTATAGGAATGAAATGCTAATGGCAAATCACATAGGATAGGATAAATTATAATTTATTTAAAAAAATAAATAAAGGAGACTGAGAATGACACGCCATGTGCCAGCTTGGTCCCGTCAGAGGCAGCTATATCCGATTGGAGTAAATATTCAAAGAAACATCTTTTATTTTTTAAATCTACACTTATACCTTTTTCTAAATTTTTTTATGTATTAAAATTCTAGTCGATTAAAATTCGATTCAAAGTAATTAAAATTTTTACATATTAAAATTTGAGTAAATTAAAAATTATATTTTTTACATGTCAAAATTTGAACCGATTAAAATTCTATTTGAGCCAATTAAAAATTATTTTTAATCGACTCAAATCAAATTTTAATTACTTGCATTGAATTTTGATCGGCCCAAAATTTTAATACATAAAAAAATATAAATTTTAATTTGACTCAAATTTTAATAAATCAAATTTTAATTGACACGAATTTTAATAAGTATAAAAATATATCTTTTAATAGTCTCGAATTGAATTTCAATCGGCGCTAACAACTCGCGTAAAGCTCATATCTACTCAAATTTTAATACATAAAAAAATAATTTTAATAGGCTCAAATTTTAATATAGAAGAAAAATAAAATTTAATCACCTCAAATCGAATTCTAATTGGTCCAAATTTTAATATGCAGAAAAATAAATTGTTATCAACTCGAATTTTAATATGTAAAATTTTTTTTTTAATCTGGTCAAATTTTATGTAAAAAAATTGTTTGGGATTTATGTAGAACCATTTTTGGCATTTTAGATGATTTTATTTTGTTAAAAATGGTGTTTTAATGTCTGTCAGGGATGTTTAGATATAAATAAAAAAGAATATCAATAATTTTTTAATAATAGAAGAGTTTTCTTAAAAATATATTAAACTAGAAAGGGGAGTAACTGAAATTTTCTTATTCTTATTAAATGATAAGATGATAAATAATGATAAGATCTCACCGTTATTTTTCCGGAAAGTACCATCAGATATTTTCTCCTCAATTGAGTCATGCAAAATTACATTTATGTCATCAATGTACTGGCCTTTTTTTAAAGAAACCAATCACACACCAACAAATCTTGATTATAAGAATAGACTTCTTCATCACTCCATAGCCGTACCCGAATCTCTCTCTCTCTCTACCTATTTTTTCTCTAGCTCCACAGACAAATGTATAATGTTGCATCTGTAAATGCATTCCATAAATTTCGTTTCTCTCTCTCTCGGGATCTGGGTCGCCTTTATTTTCCAGAAAAAACAAAGTTAAGATTTGATTTGTTAAGACGTTATCTTCCTTATTGATTTCTATTTTTCACACACATTCTGTTTCACCACGCGCCAACGGACCCATCTTTGATTCTTTCTGAATTAGCTGCTTATATTATGATTATGAATATGCACATATGATAATGTACTGAAGTTATTCAATGATCGAGTTGCAGTGAGTCATCAAGACTGAGTTGACCAAGGTATCCACAAGGTTTTTTGACATAATATTTTGGGTATTCTTCATGTTTTGCAGTCAAATCTGAGTTGGGTTTCTATCTTTCTTGTTTCAGAGAGTTCAAGATTTGATTTCTGTAGAGATTTATGGCTCACCCGTCAAACCATAGGTTTAGTCCTCGGGTTGGCAGATTACTACTGGTTTTATTGGGTTTGTTGTTCGTTGGTTACCTTATAGGAACACCATTGTTGAGGCACTCTAAGGACAATTCAAGTGATCAGAGTTCATGTCGTTTATGTGAATGTGATTGCTCTTCAGAACCCCTCCTCTCCATGCCATCAGGTGAGTTCATCTCTCACTAAACTTTTTGGAGAAGGAACATGTTTAATAATTTGCTTTTTTTGTGTATGATCTTGCTTTTGCAAGAAGTGCGTTGGTCACCACAGTAGCATGGCAATGATCTTCACATAATGATGCTTTATTAGCTATGGAACTGTGGGTTCAATTGTTTTGTTTATTTAGTTTCTCTGCTTAGGTATTCTAACAGTCCTCAATATTAATTTGTTTTCCTAAACTATTAGGTTATTAGTTTGAGATCAAGAAATTGGACAAAAAAAAGATATTAGAGCATGTGGTTTGATGGAATTTGGCTATCATAGTAGGCTTACTCTGCTTTGAGGCCATATCTTTTTGCCTTAATTATCGATAAATTGACTAGACATATTCGAGATGACATCCATGACATATCTTATTTATAGATGATATAGTATTAATTAATGAAAGTAAAGAAGGAATTATAATAAAATAGAAATTTGATGAGAGCCTCTAAAATCAAAAGAATTTAAGATTAGTAGGTTAAAACTGAATATATGAAATGTAACTTTAGTAAAAGAATGAATCCAAATCAGTAAGTAATAAAAATTGAATATTAAGAGATACCAAAAAGTGAATACTTTGATTACATAAGGTTAATTATTCATAAGTAGTTTGAGATTGATGACGATGTTCTTGTGGAATTAAAGCATGATAGACTAAATGGAAGAATGTATTTGATGTATTGTGTGATAGATGCATACCTCTTCAAGTAAAATGAAAGTTTTATAGGACGGTCATAAGACTCGCTATTCTTTGTGGTACTAAGTGTTGGGTAATTAAGAAATAATATGTTTAAGAATTAAGGAGTTGTGTTGTAGTTTGGCTCTTGTTCATCAAAAAAAAAAAATATGTTTAAGAATTGAGTGTGGTGGAAATTAGGAATGAGAATATATGTGAAAAAGTAGAGGTAACACATATTTGAGATAATTAAGGGACAATACTCTTAGGTGGTTTAGACATTTATCGACGATCTACTACGAGATCGGTGAGAGAGTGATATGAGAACTATTGACGGTAAACAAGGGGTAAAGGGAGACTAAAATTAACTTTAAATGAAATGGTTATGAAGATAACATAACATATAGTGTAACAAGAAGTATGACACTTAATGAAGCCCAATGATGAAACGAGATTCATGCAGCTAATCTAAAAAATATTGGACAAGGCTTTGTTGAATTGAATTGGGTTGAATATGACGAAAATATGTTTTATGTAGCGAACCACAAAGTATTGGGAATAAAATTTTATTAAGTTGAGTTGAGATGCATCCCCTTCCCTCTTATTCTTCCAGTATAATAGTTGCCCTTGCCCCGCTAACGAAGAGTCCATTGGAATGAGGCAGCTAATCTAAAAAAATTTGGTGTTTTTTTTTGGGCAGGGGGTAGGTATTACATTAGTCATCTAGCGTCCATTGGAATGAGGCAGGTTGCACCCGCCCCCGCCAGCAGGCCCGGGGGGGGGGGGGATGGTTGGTGGTGTAAAGTTGGTTGAGAAGTTGAAGAATATCATTCTCAGGAACCGTAATGTAGATTTGGATAAATTGTGCCAACAATAATGACTTTTACACTTGATTGTCTTAAAGGATAAATTCATAATAAATGATGGAATTATATTATTAGTCACAAAGGCAGCTAGTAAGCTAGTAGAGTGAGACAACCGCCATTAAGTATAATGAGTGCTACATTAATCAAATACGACCACTTTAGGTAAGATTTCACATAGGGAACAGACTTGAGAAGCAGGAACCATTGATTCCTGAGAGGTGCTTGATGTGTAAAGAGGTGGAGAAACTGGTGTCATTTGATTTTGCAATAGAGAAGAACTACATGGCATATTTGGAAACTTAATTATGTAAAGTAAGAAGGACTATGGGAGCATTTTTCATGTATAAAGATGAAAACTGTCTCATCTAAATATGTATTTTTGTGGGCTTCGGCAAATGGGACCAGTATAAGCCTTTCTCATGTGCAGTTCTTGGACCACTTTCATTTCAACCCTTCTTGTATGGCGTTGCATGAATATTTTATTTGTGCATATTCCTTCCACTACTGGTATTCTTAGGAAAACAAGACAAAAGTACCTCCAAAGGTTCTGATGCTATAATTCAGAGGAACTAAAGAGCATCTTTCCATGTGAAGGAGTTAAGAATCTATGGAGTAATGGATAGGATGAAGAGCACTAGCAAACGATCAAGGGGTACAACTGGCAACTTTTAGAAGGGGTGGATTAAGGAATTGCAGAAGCAACTTTTGGTTTTAGCTGAAATTAATATCAGAGTGTGAGGTATCTTGGGTGTTACAGGAGATGCCCCCCCAATCATGTCACTCTGCTTTGAGTACAATCCGTTAGCCTTCCCTGTCTGTGAATTGGGTGGTTTCAGTATGGTTCAGGATGGAATATTGAGACAGCTGTCTATTCTTTGTGTCCATTCAAGACAGACTCAACTAAGAATAAGCTTTTTGAATTGGAGCAATCTGATAATAGTACTTGCATCATCTGCAAGGTAGAGCTTGACCATCTATATCTGAATGGTCAGAGTGACCATCACCTCTTCAAGTTTTTGTGTGGTGACAAATTCTTGCCAGTGTCTGGTGAGAATGCTTATCAAGGCAAAAAAGGAGACTGCATGGTCTTGAAAGCTAACAAAAGTGAGTTGCACAGCTCATATATGCACAAAGACTTGCAATGGTGGCCGTGGCACCCACTGCTTGTTTTTGCAAGAAAAGAACAATCAACTTTAGTCATATGAAGAGGAGTGCTGAAGCTTTTGTGAAGAAGTTAATCTGGGAATTAGGTATTTATCAACTTACATAAACAAGTGAGCTGCAACCAATATAGCCATCAAAGGAAGAATTTACGTCGAGGTATCTCATTATATATACTAGTAGTTTGGTAGCAGCATGTAAGTGACATTTGGGACACTTGAACAAGATTACTTCTTAGTTGCATGTGACCAGTTTTTAGACTATTAGTGTGTATGTTCAAATCAATTGCAACAAAGTTGGGTTCCTAGCTTCTCTCTCCCCCTCCACCTCCCCTCTGCCCCTCTCTCCGGTTCTCCCTCCCACTTTTTTTTTTTCACTATTTCGATATTTAGGCATACTGGACAGATTGTACTTTACTTAGTGATAGCCAAGTTAGCAGGAGGTTGAGGGCTCCTTTGTGCCTCATATGGACCTTGAGGCATGAGGAATAGGAGGTCACTTGAGTGGATGTGTTTTCCTTACGAAAAGTTTTGAATGACTACTCTCTTCTCACTTATGGAGATATACTGAGAGTCAAAGTTAAGTTAGTTAGTGCCTCATTGATTTTTTCCTTCTTTTGTACTCTTTTGTTCCTAAATATCTGTTGTTTAAGGTTTTTGCACAGGGATTAATGAAACTATTAAATAACTGTAATATAAGTAAAAAATAATTACACAAGACTAAAATACTCTTATTCAATACGTATTGGGAAGAAAAGGAATATGAAAGATACTTAACTTCCACCTAATTTAATGCATTGAAAAGTTAAGGGTAAATTTGGAAGAAAAAATATTAATTATGCTTTGGTTTCATTAAACGACAGATATTATGAAACAAAAAAAATTGTATAAAATGACAGATATTTAGAAACGGAGAGAGTATTTTTGAGGGATGGAGGTGGAGGGGCCTGAGGAGACACCATGAGAAACACAGAGTATGAATCAGACAAAACAGTTACTAGGGGATATTTGGTGGTCCACTCTCATGCTACCCATAAGCTACTCCCAAAGCAAGCCAATGAGTTGGTCTATTTGCATGTCTCCTGATAGGACAACAAATGAGAGTAGCTTATGCTTTGAAAGCCTTACCTCTTCAGAAATGGGTGAAATTACCCTAGCATCAATGAGGTTAGTAATCACTGTCGGCTACACACTTGGGCAAAATAGACGTTGGAGTATACCATTTATAATCCTCATTGTTATGCGCTGCTTTAAGGCTTCACACTGGAAAGATAAGTCTGATATGAATTTAACTCATTCAGATAAAATCCAACTTTCTCATTGGAGATGCAGTGAAGACCTTTATTTCATTTAATACCACATTGCAGTAATACATTAACACATTTCACCTTTATTGCTCATTACAACATTGACTTAAGGCATACTAATGAGAACCCATCAAGGGTCAAGGACACTTCCTAGAAGTACTACATTTATTTATATATCTTCCTCGAAAAACATTATTTTAGTGTTCTTGATATTATATTATATATTGTGAAGGTATTTTGAAAATGATGTAGGGACTCTCTCAACTATAAAATATGTTGTTCTTTATTTATTGGTCAATGTGTGCATCTTCATGTCTACTGGTGTTGAGAACTTTTTAGCACAGATTGGTTTTCAAGACACGGTATATTCTTTAACTTTGATTCCTGTGTTAATTTTACAGGGATTTTCAACAGTTCATATGCAGGTTAGTTGAACCTTCTCTTTGCACACTATGCTATCTTTTGTTAGTATGAACACTAACTAAAGCACTACCTCTTCAAAATTTATTTCAGAGGTTTACTTTCTTTAGTGTACAACTATAGGGTTCCCATTATTCTGAATTATAGATAAGCTGGTCAGAGTATCGAGAGAACATTGAGCTGAAAGCTTGTCTCCGCTATTCAAACTGAATGGAAAATAAAAAGTTGCTTGGTTATCCTTTTCTCATGGAAATACAGCTTAAAATATTCGCGTGAAAACAGAAAAGGGAGAAGAATAAATTCTCCCATGATTTTGAACGACAGCCAATTGTTCTTGAGAACGACTTAAAGTGGCCATAAATGTACAACCTGAAACTTTACTCTTACTGTAGTGATAGACAAATAGTCCAACTGATGAATAGAGCAACTGCTTTTAGTTTAGTGAGGACCGATTTGACTAATGAATGAAGTATCAGGCTTTTTCTCCCCTTTTTTGTCCTTGAATACCGTAAGAACCAATTCTCGGAGCCAACCTGCTCTCAGATGCCAAGCCTATGTGCCACTGCTGTAACATCTTTGGCTACTGCCTGGTCCTTCTACAAATTCAGTTGACGAACATGACACTACTATACCCCGATGACATTAACATACCAGTGCTGCAGCAGAACTATTTTAGAAACAGATTAAGTAATGACTTAAACATCTTTGGCTAGTTTTTTCTCCAATCTGCCTTATTATTTTGCTTACTGTGATTGTAGACTGTGCTAAAGATGACCCTGATATGAGCGAGGAAATGGAGAAGGATATCATAACTTTACTGTCGGAGGAGATTAACTTACTGAAAAATGTAACAAATGATAGCTTGGAACATACACAGGCCTTAATCATTGATGCCAAGAAAACCTCTTCACACTACCAAAAGGAGGCAGAGAAGTGCAATACAGGGATGGAAACCTGCGAGGAAGCAAGGGAGAGGGCCCAAGCAGCACTCACAGAAGAGCGAAAGCTCTCAGTAAAGTGGGAGCAACGAGCTCGTGAATGTGGATGGAAGGATGAAAGAAGAGTTTATTCATGAAAGTAACCAATCGATACTTTATTTTGCTAATACTAGGATTCTGGCTGATACCTTTGTATTCCTCATTGCCTACGGTTCTTTTTTTGTGAATATAGACATACAATAGTCATCATTCTTTCAATTAATCTTTCACTCATTTGTTCATTACAGTTGCATTGGACAGATGGATCCACTGGGCTCTTCTTGATTTTATTTGGCTATCTCTGTCACGACTCCAATTTTGGCTTTTATTTCATTGTAACCAAGGGAATTTTATGAAAAAACATACATTAGTTCAGACTTTGCCATTAAATTCTCGAAAGATTCACATTTTTCAAAAGCAAAATAGACATTACAAGAACTGTACTTGGACTTCCACATTTTACCTATGAACAAGAAGGTGAAATGTAAAAATTTTTGGTAAGCTTCAATTTGTTCATTGTTTGTGCTTTTCGGCAAGCTTCAATTTGTAAAAACCACAAAAAAATGTTCATTTTAGCAGGGTACCCAGTGTAACATAAAAAAAAACAGGAACAGAGAAAAAGAAAAGAAAGAAAGAAAAACTACAACATATATGTCTCCATTTCAGCTCAAAAAATGTGAGATCTGGCTGAATGGTATTAGACACAATTGGAACCCAAACTGTCCAGATTGAAGAAACACTTCCCTCAAACCAAATATATACTGTCCAAAACTGCATATCCAGCTACAACGCCTCCCTCATTCGCGGAAGAGACCTTTGTACGCATCAAGTAACCAGAGTGATCGTTCATTATAACTTTATCTTTGTTCCTGCACATTCAAATGCTCAAGAATTTATAAATATATAATAGGCAGTGGTAACAATCATAATCACTATTATCTTTGTTCCTGCACATTCAAATGCTTACTAATTTAGGAACATATACTAGGCAGTGTTAATAACACTCAACATTACAAGTATAATTTTAAACCTTGGAAACTGATTTGATAGTTTATACAATGAAGAGTCAGCAGACAGGCTTTTCTTTCTTTGTAAAGAAAACCTTGACCAACCATCATAGATTTGGAGCTCTACACTCCCCCCTTTTCTCTCACTTGAATATTGAAACTTGATTTAGGAAGCAAATGCATTTCCTATGAACTTGTCTCCCCATTTGAAATGTCGAGAGGTTGAGGTTGAGAATGAGAGAGTGAGTTTTTCATGTTAAGGTGCATGAAAAATTCATTGGTAGTGGGAGTAATGACAGACTTTTGTTACCTTAGATAAGCACCATAAATACCAAGTTCTGATATGGCATGATCTTTATGACAGATGCCATTCCTCATCAGAATAGCGGGAAATATGTTTGGAAAAATTCTTTGCATGAGGATGTAAGCAGCATTTGCTTCAGTCCCTTCCTTCTGCAATCTTAGGAGGGTTTCCCTTGCATCATCTCCATAGATATTGTTCCCTGAAGTGGGATGACAACAAACATTTAGTGATCTTATATACATACATAACTAAATCAATTAAGAAGAAACAAGACCTCCGCCTTCTCTTTGTGGTTTCATAACATATAACTCAGGTTTTTCTATTGCGTTCTTGACAATGTTTGAATCATCCAGACTCCACAACCCTGCAAAGCATTTTCGTAGCTTGGCAATGTCATCTTTGTTTTCAAGGAACCTGCTCAAAATCAAGACAAAGGCTTCACAGAAGGCATAATAAATGACGTGAATGGAGATAATTTTCCATTTAGATTGTTTCACTCAACGAATAATCATGCTCGTTATACACTCTTTTACCCATAACATGGTTTTCCAGTCCACATTTTATTTATTCCAGCAGTTTAGGGAGGAAAAGTCACCTAAAAGAATTAGCAACTACTTTTCGTTAAAGATTAAAGAAAGGCATTGATGTGGTTGAAGGGGTATTGTAGAGAAATAACACCACTTTACATTTGCTTTCACCACAAACCAAGAGAGAAAACAAAGAAAATAAAAGACAATTCCCAGAAAGATCAGTACAAATTTTCAGTGTTGATCATAGTTCATATGACATTTTTTCTGGAAGTTGGCCCCAAGCACAACCAAAATCCTAATTCTGCAGAAATGATAATCATACCCAACTGAAAAAAGGTGGTTATTACCTTTCAAGTACATTGGGTTTTGCAAGCTCTTGTTGAATCTTCTTGGTACCAACTAATTGATAAGAAATTGATGGGCACTTGATTGCACAGGACTGCTCCATAAGTAGCCTAGCTCTCCATTCCTACATTACAAACAAGACCATGGGAACAAAGGGGAAAAACAAACTATGCACTTGTGAAGCTAAAATTTGGAATTAGTTGGAATATTGATCACCATGTAGTGGGTGCTACATGGGATCAATTCTTACCACTTGAATAATATAGCAAAAGTGAAACAAACTGGGATCAAAATCACCTTTTAGCTATGTTTGTATCTAATTTTTGTTGCTAATGCTTGAATTACACCATGAAATTTCACATTCTGCAAAAGTTTCTGTGAATATTGTCCAGAGTTTAACAGGATTTTATTGAAAATAATGCTATGTTTATTTTAGAGAGGAGCCAAGATTTTTGGTAAGTAGGGTTAATCAAAAACAATTGACATGTAATATTAAATTTCAATTTTGGTGATGTTACATAAATTATAAACATTGTTGCCAAAAAAAAAATCTAGATAGGAGTAATGTCATTGTAAGACATTATAAAAGTTACCAAATGATTAAAACCCCAATAAAATCTTGTTTGGTTTCTTGTCTAATGCCAAACCATAGGTAATCATAGACAAATGTTGCAAGAGTATTTCAATTTCAAAATGAGTAAAAAAATGTGAATTCTTTTGTTTTTTTGAGGATTATCCTTTTTTTGTCAAAAACCAGTTTGTGATTTCTATTACTCATCTTTTATTAAGAGCAGAAAAATCTACCATATGCATAGAGTTCCTCCTCATTCTTCTGGGATTTCAACTCGTTTGATTTAGAGCTGAAGTCAAACCAGTTTGGCCATTTTAAAAAAATAAATCAGCATAGTTTGGAAACCTTCTCCACCATAATCTAATATTTGGGATTGACCCCTAAAGCTCTGTCGTCTACAAAAATAGTGCATAAACTTGGAAATTTTTCAGTAGCCTAGGGCGCAACTCCACTAGTTTTTTCGCAAGAGTTTTGTGGAATTTCAGTGGATTAGGGTTAAAAATTCCCCCAAAAGCCAAACGGCATAACACATCTACACATGCCATCAATGGACAGAGTCAAGGACTGTAATTCAGCTCCATTGGCACCTTAAATATGTAAATACAATTTCTCAGAAACCAACATTAACCACTATTAGTATTTAAGGCAGTGCTTGAAGTTTCCTTTTCGAGAAAATTTTAATTGTAAGCAGCACAAAAAAGAACCAGACAAACTCACTGATTCTGAAGGATAATCAATTGGTGCATATCCAGTTCTGAAATAAATGACTGCAACTGCTTCGCCACCTCTGCAGTTGCAAAGTTTTCAAGTAGTATAGGAGAAAATCAAGTGATGATCTAAAAATTTGGGACCAGTAAAGTTTTACTTTCATGCCATAAAGCTACATACATAAGAAGTGTTCCATCTGGTTGAAGCTCCCCTTGTGCATCTATTTCTGCCAATGTCTTACGTACAATTGTAAGACCATGTGTGTTATTAAGTTTAGGAAAATAATCCATGGGATATTAATTAAAAACTTTACGCACAGAATATAGGAACATATGCATCTCAACAGGTCCTAAGAATATAGAAACACATTCTCAACTGATCTTTAACCTTTTTTTCCACTTTGAAGATTCCAAACGGGTGTCTCTAATATTAGTGTTCCCATTGCTAGGGTAGTCAAACATATGACCTGGTTTACATAAAGTAGCTTCTTATAAACGACGAAAAGGATATCTTTCTTTCAGTATGGTACAAAGCCAATGTTGATCATACATGTTCCTTTCTTCAGCTTGAACCACAACCATAACTACTGCCCTGAAATGCATGAATAAAGTGTATCCACAATGACTTTAGCAATCACATCATAAGAATGAAACAGACCATTCTTACAATTAAATCCAACCTCGGGTTGTTATATTCTGCCCAAGCTTTAGCCAATGCCTCAGCAAACTGACCTACAGCATTATTTCTGGGAATCCTCTCAGAATCCAGTGCAACGTGTTGTCCATACTGATTTAGTAAGCCCCTGCAAATCAAACAAGTAATCCCTAAGCATATATGCACACAAACTTGCATATGTACATGCATACATACGTATATAGTGATTTGTTGCCAGCTTCTGCAGTAAACACGTTAGCGTGTATGCAAGATTTTATGAAGAGATCTAAAGATATGCCCACTCATTCCGGCAATCCAATGTCATAATCGTAAACACTCAAATACATCTCTATAACATGAAAGCACGTTACATGGGCAAAAGGCTACCTAAAACAAAGAGAAATATAGAAGTGAACAATTAACAACCAAAGGAATGGGCAAGAGACTGAAAGAAGAAAAATTCATGCTCACTAAGATGTTATCAACACAGTTGTTAGAACCATTTTATAATTGATTAATTTCGTGAAATCCATTATAAATCTCAACCTTTTCTATGGTCATGATGCTATCAAGTTAAAGATTTGAAAGCGTCATTGAAGGAAGGAGATAAAGCGTTAATGCACCATTATTCAACCTCCATATACACCTTCATGCGTTAATGCAACATCATTCAACCTATGTACGCACCTTCATGCTTAGAATAAAGATAATGACCTAGACGCTTAAAATTAACTTTTAGTTATTTTTAAATTAAATTGATTAGGATGAAAATAACAATTGAAGTAATCCGTGAATGACTCCTAGGTGATTTCAAAAGAAAAGATTTTTAAACAATTTTGTATTTTGAAAACACAAATTGAGCCATTATCGGATCCCACTTGAGCAACAACCTTTAGTGCTCAAGTAAACTAGTTTTTATTTGGTTTTGTGCTTTAAAAATCGGTAGGGATCGAGCTATACTCACTAGTGTTCGCTAGATCGGTCTCTTGATGACTTAAGCAATTGGATGAGAAAAGGCTACGGGAGAACAACACAGGGCTCACTCAAGCAGTCCTTCAAAGGTCGCTCAAGCCCTGTGTTGTTCTGGACAAGACGAAAACGTGATTTTCATTGTGGTGCCAACCCTTTTCCCACCGATCGAGCAGTTGTTCACGAATCTGAATTTCCTTATTTACTAAGACTATCCTTATTCCGGACATATAACTAGGGACAATCATTCTTACAGCTCAGTTAAGCAACTTGTGAGATTTCTAAGAGAGAAAACACTTCTCCTACCTTGAAAGCTTCCACTACTGCCCTATATCCTTAAATTTAAAGGCTACCACCAGAGATTCTAGTCAACCTTATAACTTGGTATTTAAGAACTTGATGGTGTAAACCAAACTCATTGGTGTGTGCATACCGAGGATGTTAGTATACCCATAATTGCTCGAGGCCTAGATGAACCGTGCGGCAGGATGGTCCAAATAAAGCTATACTAGACGTTGAAAGAGGACCGGCGGAGAGAGACAACAAGAAAAGGAACATCTAATCATGGTATTGGTTAAGGTATAAGAGTCAACATTAGGCTTTGGTGAACTGAAAAGATTTCCCACGGTTTTTCCCGAGGAGGATTTCCGTGTCAACAAATCACTTGTGTTAATCTTGCATATTCCATATACACTTGTGATTGTGAACACACCTGTACACTGTGTTTGTTGATTTGATTGATTGACTATCTATTCAATAATGTAAAAATTGGGATTTGGGATTTGGAATCGTAGTGAGATTGATTGAAAGTGAATTAATTAAAATCAATCGCCATAATTAGTTTGGGTTGTGGTGACTAAAGGAGCTTTCACATTATTTGTTATATCTTTGTGAGAAGAGGTAATTATGGTGGTTTAGATTTTTATTAGTAATCAATTAGGCTAAAATTGAAAAACATATTCATCCTCTTAAGTAAAGTGTCTATTGCTCCATGTGTATAATCGTAAAGGAAGATCCACGTCTAGTTTCCCCTCTCGGAACAAACAAATAGTAATTACACAAATCTATCTATCGCCATGAAGTAGATATCAAACCAAACAATTTGGCGAAAAAATTATCAAGTTCTTAATATGGGGCTTATTCAAAATTGAATTTTAAAGGTCCCAACATGTTTATACAAGGAAACCTAGACCAGCATACAAGACATATCAGTGGTTCAATCAAACAAATCTCCAAAGAAAAGATACAGGCTGACCAATAATTGTTGAACAATTACAGTATTTGAATCAACTTAAGAAATGGAGTCTCTCTTAAAGGTGCTTGGAGTAAAACCATTTCCTACCCCAAGAAATACCTTTGGCAGAAAATATTGGGTCAACTGGTCCAGCCAGTTGTATAATTAAAAAATATAAAAAATTACAAGCATAATAATTAAGCTAAATTTTAGAACTTTGGCAGAAAATGACAAATAATTATAGGTAAGTGAAAAATTAATAATGAACCCAAATTAATTTGTCAAAAAATCCTTGAGAAAATAGAATTTGTGTAGAAAAAAATGCATAAAAAATATTATTTTAAAACTTTTTTTTCTAATGAAAAAGGTGGTTGTATTAGTGTAACTAAAGTCCAA